GAAGGAGGGGAAGGGAATGAAGGAGAGAAGGGAGGGAGGAAGGGAGAAAGAAGGGAGGGAGAAAGAAAGAAAGAAGTAAAGGAGAGAGGGAGGGAGGATATGGAAGGAAGGAAGGAAGGAAGGGGACGGGGATGAAGGAGAGAAGGGAATGAGGGAGAAAGAAGGGAGGGAGAAAGAAAGAAGTAAAGGAGAGAGGGAGGGAGGATACGGAAGGAAGGAAGGAGGGGAAGGAAGGAAGAAAAAGGGAATGAAGGAGAGAAGGGAGTGAAAAAGGGAGAAAGAAGGGAGGGAGAAAGAAAGAAACAAAGGAGAGAGGGAGGGAGGATATGGAAGGAAGGAAGGAAGGAGGGGAAGGAAGGAAGAAAAAGGGAATGAAGGAGAGAAGGGAGTGAAAAAGGGAGAAAGAAGGGAGGGAGAAAGAAAGAAATAAAGGAGGGAGGGAGGGAGGGAGGATACGGAAGGAAGGAAGGAAATAGAGGAGGAAGAGAAAATTCCAAACTCCAGCTTGTGAAAGCCGGACCTCCATAGATTCACAGGCGGCATCTTAACAGCCATTGTTCATCAGCTGCATTTCTCTCTCTTTTGTGAAATAAGTTACTGACATTTGTATATAATGACTCAGGTCAGAAACAGTTCACTGGTTTAATTGAGATTTAACATCTAGACATCAATCTTACCTTTGCTTCACTGCAGGGTGATTCCTACCATCAGTTCCTTCCTTGGATGAAGAGTTACGGGGGGGCTGGAATTTTACCTGTCCCACATTACATCAGGCTGGGAATAAAGTTTGGGGAATTGTCTCCATTGTCCCTGAGTTAATTTTTAAGACGAGGTTTAGTGGTGAAGTGGTGAAATAAAACTCCTTTCAGCTTAGAAAGGCAGGGAATCATGGAAAGGAAAACACTCTGGATGGACTCAGGGGCTAGTTTCAGGATCCCAAAACTGATAAAAAGACATTCTAAAATCAAGGCAAATCAAATAAACATGGGAAATATCAGCCCTGCCAAAATTCTGGTTTGATGCTTAGTTTTTAATTCATGCCTAACTTGGTTTTTCATTTGGACAAAGCCAAATTGCACGGATCTTAGACAGACATTGGGAGGGGGGGCAGAGCGGGGAGGAAAATGGAAACAAAATTAAAATTAAAAACAAGGGGAAATCCCAAGCGTGTCCCACCAGCAGCCCTGTTTTGTCGTGAGACGAACCCCTCGTGGAGAAGGCAGGGCTGGGGTGTTCTTTTAACCCGGGTCGACCTCGGCCGCCAGAGGTTAATTTTCAGGGTCAGGAGGCTTATTTCGAGGTATGGAGGCTGGCGCCCGCGAGAGCATTACCCCAATTTGCAAAGAGACCCCGGGGTCCCTCGGAGTCTATTTCCTTTTCTGCAGGCAAATTAGATAACCTTGGGACTACTGACATGATGCCCTCGGAGACGGTGACGTTGGTCTGGCTTACCAGATTTCAGAGACTGATTTACCCTGCGGGGAAGAAAACATGACGCTCTCTGACTTGGAAGCCGTTTGGAAAGAAAATGGTCCGTTCCTTGGGATGGACCCTCAAGACTGTCTGCTTTTCAAAGGGTGGGTTGCTATTTGGGGGTTTTTCTTCCCTTCTGAATGATATCTAGTGGCCGAGAGTTGGGTACCCAAAATGGGTATTCTGCTAATTGGAGATTCCCCCCAAAAAATCTCTCTTTTCTTCCTTCCTATCTTCCTTCCTTCCTTCCTTCTTTCCTTCCTTCCTTCCTTCCCCTTCCTTCCTTCCTATCCTTCTTTCTATCTTCCTTCCTATCTTCTTTCCTTCCTCTTTCTTCCTTCCTATCTTCCTTCCCCTTCCTTCCTTCCTTCCTTCCTTCCTTCCTTCCTTCCTTCCTTCCTTCCTATCTTTCTTTCTATCTTCCTTCCTATCCTCTTTCTTTCCTATCTTCCTTCCTATCTTTCTATCTTTCTTTCTTCTCCTTCCTTCCTATCTTCCTTCCTTCCTTCTTTCTATCTTCCTTCCTATCCTCTTTCCTATCTTCCTTCCTATCTTTCTTTCTATCTTTCTTTCTATCTTCCTTTCTTCTCCTTCCTTCCTATCTTCCTCCCTTCCTTTTTTCTTTCTATCTTCCTTCCTATCCTCTTTCTTTCCTATTTTCCTTCCTATCTTTCTTTCTATCTTTCTTTCTATCTTCCTTTCTTCTCCTTCCTTCCTATCTTCCTCCCTTCCTTTTTTCTTTCTATCTTCCTTCCTATCCTCTTTCTTTTCTCTTCCTTCCTTTCTTTCTTTCTATCTTTCTTTCTATCTTCCTTCCTTCTCCTTCCTTC